ATACGAAGAAAGCAGAGAGAAGAGGGAGCATTTACTATGACTGCGGTCCATTGCCAGGACTTGTAAAAATCAGTGCAAAACCATGGTAGCCAAGGAGGAGAGAGAAATGTGGTTTTCTGAGCTTTGCTGAAAAGAAGGAATTTCTCTCATGGGGCAACTTGCTTGGAAATAGAAGGAGCTGATGTTTAGACATGTGATTCTCATTACCAGCTACATCCTTTCAGACAGAAGGCAGAAATAATTGGATTCAGTTCTATTTTAATTATAACTCCTTGGCTTTAAAGAAATTGCCAATGGAAATCTGCAAGCCACCACAAATGCCATTTCAAATTCCCCAGATTTTAATGTGGCCTGGATACCCTTCAGCAAGGCTGAGGCCGCCTGCCACAATTGATGCTTCTTGTTGTCACAGACCTAAAGTTTTCCCCAAAGAAAGATGAACTGATCTCTGTCTCTCTATTCCCCCCCCCCTCTCGTTCTTCTTCTCCCTCCCTCATTTTGTTTTTCCTTTTGCAGGAAACCCTAACTTACACAAAAATAGGAGAGATTGAAGCCTTTTGTGACAAAGGACAGTTCAGCTCGTAGCCCAGGAGTGCAGCACTTCCCTTCTGTGCTCCCTTAACTGTCCAGAGTGGTTACCAACCTTTCTAGAGTCCCAGATTCAGGAATAGTCCTGAAAAGAGCTTGAAATGGGAAGACAGGCTCCTAGCAAAGTCAAACAACACAACCAACACCATGAAATCTCTGGGGTTACACCTCATCGGAGCCATTTCTGCTGATTTCCTTCCTACCAGTCTCAGCCTGAAAGATATTCTTGGCAGAGTTGGAAGGGAACCCCAGAGAGATAATACCATCCAGTGACCAAAGCAGGGTGGTGCCCACATCCCTGAGAGGGGAACCTGGTAGGCATCTGAGGTCTCTCTGGTTAGTGTCATATTGAACACATCCTGCTCAGAGCAAAGGCTGTTCCCGTGTTTCTTTTGAAGCTGAGCAAATAAATATAGAAGCTTAATCTGTACTGTAGCCACAGTTCTGTTCTAAGTTAAAATTCAGATAAAACAGTATGCTCCAATGTTTTACTTGCTCTAATTTGCCCTGCGTTCAAATGTCTTACTCAAATTCACTAAAATATAATTCAACAAGCTTTTAAAAAACATTTTAGTATGGAGTAGAAATGTGTTTGTTTATTTAGTGAGTTGGTTGCTTTATGCACATATGTAAATAAAAGTATGATGCGTACATGGCCACATATACACACATGCACACACATACCCCTTCCAAGAAATACAAATAGGAAAGCATTGCTTTTTAATTAAACTGAACATGAGGATCATGCAACACTAATAATACAGATTACAGAAGATACATGAGTTAGAAACACCAAAGTGAAGCATCACAAGAATAGAGAAACAAGAATCCAATGTACTCAATTCTACCATGAAGGCAGTAAATGATCTAATGCAAGGTGGGGGATAGGGGAATGAAGGAGCAGGGAGAGGGGAGGGGGATGGGGAGGGTCATGGTATAGGGCACACCTCGTGGGGGTGGGACACAATTATAAGGACTTTATCTAACAAATGCAATCAGTGCAACCTAATTCTTTGTACCCTCAATGAATCTCAAACAATAACAAGAGAAACACCACAGTGTTAGTATTTGGAAATGTTTTCCAAATTAACCTTGCAATCAAGAGGCTTTAGCAAATGAGCAATAAACGAGCAAGCAGCAAGCACAGAGCGTGTGAGTGTCCATGTGTCAGCGGTTTCTGGCAATCAGCTTCCCTAAAACAAGGAAGGCTGGGAGATAAACCCGTGTTTACAAAAAGGCAGTTCTTGCCTAGAAACGAGGCCCAAGAGACAGTCGTGCGTCAACCAACCACGAGTGTTCTTGTTTTGTTTTTTAGTTTTTTCCTCTTCCATGCATTCCCTAATAAATCTGACTAAACTAAGTTTGACATTTCCTAACATTTTAAAAGAGGAAATAAGCAGAAGTCATAAAACACCTTGCCCCACAACATGTTTCCTTGGGTTTTTGTTCTCATTCAGAATAGGCATGATTCACATCAACGTCAACGTGGTCTTTCATAAGCAGCCACCTTATTGGATGGGACAAAAGCTTGTTGTCATCACTGACTTAACATTTCTATAATTTAAAAAAATTGCACAGTGACTTTTCCCATCACTGCGGGCCCATTTTTCATAATGAATCTCTGTTCAGAGAGAAAAAGGAAGGGCATTATATCCATCCTTCTCCAAACAAACTCTGAATGCAGCCTAGACTGGTAAGAAGTTTCTCAGTTTTCTTTGTATCTTTCCTCTGAGGACTTCATATCTCTTTTCTTGATAATAGAGATACCAGAGGATTTTCCTCTGAAGCTTCTTATGCAAAACTAGAATCCCTATTTCTCTGGTGTTCCAGATCCTGTTGTTACTTTGCTTCTCCTGGCTCCTACCCACAACCACATGCCTAAAACCTATGAATGGATTATTGAGGAGGGGGCTGTAGTAGATGTGTTAATGTCCTAATCTCTGGAACCTGTTAGCTTAAGTGGCAAAGCCTAATTGAAGTTGCAGGTAAAAATAAGGTTGCTATAGCTGACCTTAAAATAGGGAAACTATACTGTATTATCCAAAGTTTGAGGGTCCTTAAAATTGGAAAAGATGAGAGAGTCAGAGAGGGAAATGTAATACCAAAAGCAATAATCAGAGAGATGCAACTTTGCTGGCTTTGAAGATGGGGAGGGGGCCGTAAGCCAAGGAATGTAGGCAGCCTCTAGCAACTAGAGAAAGCAAGGAAGCAGACTCTCCCCTAGAGCCTGCAGGCACCTTTCCATTCATCTCCTGAGACTGATATTGAACTTATGACTTCCAAAACCATGGGACAATACATCTGTATTGTTTTAAGCCAGTAAGTATGTGGTGATTTGTTACAGCAGCAATAGGAAACTAATGCATGATTGAACATTGCACTGCTAGTCGCGCTCCTCTAATACTATCATGTAGCCCCACGTCTAATGGTCTACCTCTAATCATTATTACTTCTGTTAGGTGTGAGATTACCACAGGTATTTTCTTTTTTTTCTTTTTTTTTTTTTGCTTTACATGTTATTTATAACCCTTTTCCTCCGAGCCTGGTGTGTCAAAATTTGGAAAAAAAAATATGCTAGGCTTTTAGCTAAAAATATAGGACAGGACTGGTTCTGTGAACATGATAGTAATAAGTTATTACTCTTGCTATAGCATCATCATCTGTGAAATGGGGCTAATGAAACTGCCTACTAGTTAACACAGAGATTAATCATAGGAATAACTTTTTTACATGGCATCCATATCTGATAAAAATGTGCACTCAAGTATTTATAGGTGAAATTACTTGGTATCTGAGATTTGCTTTAAAATACGCCCATGGAAAAAACCAAGTTGTGAAGAGATAGATGAAACCAGATCGTTATTGATAATCATTGAAACTAGATGATGGGTATAGGGAGTTCATTATGTTATTCTCTCTATATTTGTGCATTTTGTGCATGTTTGAATATTTCCATACTATAAAGCATGTAGGCAGAACTGAATTTATAATATCTACATTCATAGGTAGCTATCATATATAAGCTAAAGAAGCTTGTCTTCATTTCACTTTGATTGTTTTTATTTACAGTTTAGCTCATGAGACTCTTAGGTTATTAGCTCACCTGTGCTGGAGAGGCTGGCCATGACCAGCATCCTGAGATGTTGGGAGATGGAAAGATATTAAACCTAATGCCCACAATAGGTTCAGCATTACCATCTTCCTCTGCTGGCTAAAAAGGTTCTGGGGGCTTCAGCAGTTAGAGGAGGAAGAATAGGAGTAAGGCAGCTCAGGAAGCAGGTAGACAGGCCATCCTGAGGGCGTGGCACCCCTCAAATCATCCTGGAACCTTTCCGCTCTCTTCTTTAGGACTTGGTTTGGCCCTAAAGCTTAAACAGAATTTCATCCATTTTAAAACCTACATTTTAATATCTATAAAGTAGGGAATACATCTTACAGTCTGTGGTGTCTGTGACCGGGTGACATACGGTATAGGTTCCTGCTTCTTGTGACCAGTATCTGGAAGCATGATAAAGCCCAGAGTTGTGTACATTGAGAACACCTCATTTGTTGACTGTTCTTTGACATTCATGTAAGGCTTCGTGGTATTTATATTGTTGCCATAATAAATTACCACAAGCTTCAGGACTTAAAGCATGGCCTCACAAATCTCGTGGTGGAAATTACAACCCTGGATTCTCTGCCTGCTGCACACAGGGTTTCATTACATGGAGTCATCCCCCTTCTCTATAGAGAGATCTAATAACTTGACTTCATTAGGAATATTAGGAAAAGTCAAAAAGATGGCATCCAGAGAACCTGCAAACAGCCCAGAATAAGGCAGATTATCAGACTTGTCAACAGCAACTATTGGTGTGAAGGGATCACAGAATAATGGTTTTAAAAGCATTACGAAAAAAGAGAATGGCACTAAAATTATGTGTCTGTCTATATTAACATTTAATGTGAGGGTGAAATAAAGATACTGTTAGGTACAAAGGCTTCTAGAGTTTTACTATACAAAAAAAATGCTTTTTGAAAACACTCTTGGAGGAAGCATTCTAGCATGGAGAGAAGTAAATATAGGAAGGTGCTTTGGAATAAAAGATATAGGAATGAGTACATGATTTGGTAGAGTTTACTATTTGTAATATAAAGCTTATTGTTATGTAAGTAGGCAATAACTTGTCATTTGCTCGTGTCCTCTCTTAAATATGAATGAAAAAGCAGAGATCACCTTACAATTGAGAAAAGACTTTAACCTGAAATATAGGAATCACTCAGAAAAATGGAATTGAGAAACTAAGACTATGCAGTAAGCAAAGGAAAATATTTAATAATATAATTAATATTCTAAATAGATGAAGTATTACATTTGTTAAATAAAAACTGGAGGATATAAAAAGGAAGCATTGAGGTTGGGAGGATGAGGGTGCTCATGGAGGGAGGTCTTGCAGAGTGGAAACTTAAATAAATCTAAGGTCATGGCAAAACATCTCAAGTTCATTGCTAGGACCGTGATGGTACAAGAAGGGAACGTGGAAGGTGCATAGAGAACCCTAACCAGAATCCTCACCATGGATGGGCTCATTGAGGACATCAAGCGTCGACGTTACTACGAGAAGCCATGCCGCCGGCGACAACGAGAAAGCTATGAAACCTGCCGGCGGATCTACAACATGGAAATGGCTCGAAAGATCAACTTCTTGATGCGAAAGAATCGGGCAGATCCATGGCAGGGGTGCTGAGTTCTGTAAATAGGATGCAATAGGAAAACCTTTGTATGCTTTGTGTCTCCACCTCTTCTTTCTACAGTCTCATTTTCAGATACCTTTCTCTACAATAAATTCAGTTCCATGTATGCAAAAAAAATAAATAAATAAAAATAAAAAAAATAAAAAGGAAGCATTCAAAAAGCAAGAGCAATCTCTTGGAAATTATAAACAAAACAGTACAAACTAAAAATTCAGTACAAGGTTTAAAAGGTAAAGTTGAGGACATCTTCAATAAAGTAGAAAAAAGGATAGATGAAGAAATAGGAAAAACTATTTTTTAAATTACAACCAGGGTGGCTCGGCGCCTGTGGCTCAACCGGCTAAGGCACCAGCCACATACACCTGAGATGGCAGGTTCGAATCCCCAGCCCGGACCCGCCAAAGAACAATGACGGCTGCAACCAAAAAATAGCCGGGC